GTGTAGCAGGGAGTGGCCAGTATCTTGGAACATGCTCGTGATCAACACAGTGCCTGGCCTCTGGTAATTTGCCCAAGCAACACAGTTGAGAATGCGACAGGGAGTAAAAGAAGGAGCGGGAAGTGTCAGGATGGGGGTTTGAAATGGACAATTTGAGTCGTAAAATCATAGAATTTAAACTGTGTCCAATCCCATTTTAAATGCATTTATGGTCTTCATGTCCTACGTGCTCCGAGATGCTACTCCACATGAAGCCGCTATATAAATGCATGTTGTTGTGGTGAGGTTGTGGTAAGTGTGCGCTCAGAGAGCAACTAGGTTGACTTGATGGAACAATGTCAAAAATTGGGAACAGTTGATAACATATTTTCATAAATAGAATATAGACCATTCAGTTCAGAAATCCAATGGTCTGTGACAGATTCCTGAATATAATTTCCACGTTTCCCCATCAATGTCACAATCTTCCTCGCCTGCGCACACAAAGGAAGGTAAATAAGTATGTAATTTAGTAGCTTAGATACTGGAGTAGAATTCCTCTTAATAGCCTCCAGCAATGGTGGAAAATGGTGGATTTTTGTGAGAGTAATAAGTCTAATGAGCAAGTTTTGAATTTAGTTCAATACACGCAGTGTACGATAGCACAAGGAGAATTATATTTCTGCCATGATATATCCATATAATTAAAAATAGCCAGCCAAGTGTAAAAGTGAAAATGATCAACTCTTTCGCCAGCATCTAGTTTAGCTGAAGGGCAAGTGCTAGTCAATACTTGCCTTGTTGTTTTCCCAGTCAGTGTGATGCCTGACCCCAATTCCCAGTATGATGATACCATTAGAATCACAGTCGCTATTATTAACATTGATCCAAATGTTATGACTTCTTGTGACATGGGTCATAAGAATGAGTGCAGTGATGCCTCAGTACTGCGGGCAAAATAATTCTGGTCAAAGTGCAGTTGTATCTTAAACAGGCTTCAAGAGATCATTGTGAAGATTCAGATATTTTTCTACCCCTCCAACACAGAATATGCCAATCCTTTGATGATTGATATATATGCCTCCCCAGCCCCAGCAAAAATTCCAGATAACAATAATATAATAATACTTACATTTGGAAAAGCGCCTTTCTCATCAGGAGGACAAAGCACTTCACGGGACAAATTGTTAATAATAATAATAATCCTTGCATTTGATAGTGTCTGATCACGTCTTCTAGACATCTCAAAGCACTTCACAGAATATACTGTGAAGTGAATTGACCGTATATTTTGTGGGCGAAATGTGGTAGCCAATTGTACAGATCAGTGTCCCACAAACAGTCGTAGATTGAGTGACCAAATTTTTTTTTTGAAGCGATTATTACTCCTGGAAAAGCGATTCACCAATCAACTAACAACCGACTTCCTATTTACTGCTCGGCAAACAGAGACGTGTGGAGTAAGGAAACTTGCCCAAAGTTTTGTCCTGCCCGTTAATTGAACCCAGGTCCTCTCGCTTGCGAACTGCTAACTACTGAACTGCAGGACTCCACAAAGGACTCCATAAAGTGCAGTGACTATGTGATTTATGGGCAAACATGGCAGCCAATTTCACACAGCAGTGTCCTACAAACAATCACAAAGTGTACGACCAATTTTTTTTTCTCTCTCTCCAGTAATGTGCATTGAACAGTTCCTGTGAATTACAGAATACTCAATTATTGATATTCCTGGTAAATATGCAAACCAAGTCACCAGAGAGAGCAATTTCATTCCTTTTATTTAATTCTGAATGGTCAAAGCAAGAGTTCTGGGGAATGGAACTTTTGCACTTTAATGGCATTAGAGCAAAGAAACTCCCAGAACTACTTAAACACAGGGTAAAAAATCCTGAACCAATGTGAGAGGCACAAATGTGCCACTTCTATTTGTAACACAAACTTTATTGGTTGCCTCTGGTGGACAATGGGGTTGAATTTCCAGGTCAGGGGAGCAACTCACGTGTGAATATTGTAAATTGGATTAACCATTTTGTTGAAACATGTCAAAGTAAGCATTTACATGAAACAGGTTGCCGACTGAAAATGCAACAAGCTGGTTGTCAGCTTGGCTATGTTAATAGCATGCTTGCCATTGCATTAGAATGAGTGGGTTCAAGACCCAGTTTGAGACTTGCCAATATTTTAGAGCCAGAGCCCAGTCTGGCAACCTTCCTGCTGCTCCTTTGTACAAGATGCTAAACAGAAGTCCTGACTGCTTGTCCATGTAAAGATTCCATGACACTGTTCAAAAAGAGAAGGAAGTTTGTCCTGACTATCAAGTTGCCAGATAAATTGCTCTCTCATTTTGTGGCTCTTTGTGGGACTTTGATGCACTTGCAATTATATAGTACCCCTCAGCCGGGTAGTGTCCAGAGTGCTTTAGAAAGATTACTGGACGCTGTTAGGAATAACAACATATTCATTGTTTGTTCTCAATTTTACACATGTTCTTATCAAAGTATATTTGCTTTACTATATTCTCATCAACTGTGGTGACATAAGATATTAACATGCAAAGTGATACACAAATTGATGATAAAAAAAACTTTATTGTAGCCTGGCAGAGTGATTTATGTATCACTGTACTGTATTGGAGTATCAGCCTAGACTCTGGATTCAAAGTCGTGATGTGGGGCTTCAACACACTCAGTAGAAGGCGATGATAAATAGAAATAAACTCAATAAACATTGGAATTGTCCCTGATTGTTTGTACTGTTCATAAATGGTTTGGAAGAGAGCACTTCTAATACTCTATTGTGAAATGTTCTGGTGCTCCAAGGTTTGTGAACAAGTGAAACAATAAGGAAGAATAACGGAATTCAAGAAGATTGGGATCCAATCTAATTGTAAATAATGCAAAGCAATGCATATTGGAAAAAGGATTAGTGAAATTGCATATATTGACAGAGTTGATGGAGGAAACGGATTTGGATGTGATTATTGATCATTCGATGAAGGTTACCAGCAGGCTTGCTGCTGTCAACAAAGCTAATCAAATACTAGGTTGCATCTTGGGAGCATTTGACTGTAAATATAAATAAATTACTGTCACCTTGTATAGGTTATTGGTGATTTGGAATATTGGGTGTAGGTTCAGGAGCTCCACCATCAGACATAAATCAGAACATTTCCAATGTTCTCCTCATTGGCCTGTCTAGCTCCATTTATCAGAAGCTTGAAATGATCTAGTAACCCACAACACAAACTCTGCACACAATTTACGTCCATACTCACCGAGCTCCATTTGACTCCCAATACTTTAAAGATTGAGTTTAAGATCCATCTCCTGATCTTCATATCCCTCCATTGCCTCGTTCCACTCTACCTAAGCAATATCTTCTAGCCCAATGTTCAGGCCCGTAACCTTCTCTCTTCTGACTGGTATTATGCAAATTTCAAACCCCCTTGCTGGGCCTTCAGCAACCATGCCAACATCCACTGGAACTTTGCCATCACTTTACCTTACTAACTCGCTTTCCAAAACCTCCTAAACTCATACCTCGTCAGCTGTGCATTTGGTCAACATCATTATATCTCTTATTCTCCTCCTCGAGGTCCAACACTATAGTTTTTGAGCTCTTTTTTGAATTTTCTTTCATGTGAAAAGCGCGACATATAAATATAAGTTGCTTTTATTGTTCGAATGGAATGTAAAAAAGATGAGCGCTAAAGTGAAGGACCCGTTACAAAATGTTGGACAGGCTGATACAATTTCTGTCGAAGAAAAGGAGTCGGAAGCAACGCTTGCTAAGGAAGATGTCACTTTATATTAGAGATTGTTCCGCTTGAGAGAAATATATTGCAGGATGGCCGAGGTGTTAAAATGGTTGCCATGTCAGAAGACGATAGGGTTGGTATGGAAGAAAGATGGATCAATTGGCAGAAAATCAGTGTGACATGCTGTATCCCTTTCCTCTGTGTGGTAGCAAGACCTTGCAAAACTCTGTTGTAACCTTGTACATGGTGCAAAGATAAGTAAGTGCTAATGCTCAAAGCAATGATGTGGAACCATTTTTCTCTTCATAGTTTAAACATTGTACGTATTCCTACAGGTTAAGAAATGATTGGGGTACAAAGTAGATTGGATACATTATAAAATGCTGTTGTAGTTGTCAGTTGTCATTTATAAAGGGTAACTGTGAAACTTCTTAATGTGAAGTAACAAGTTGTCATTTAAGTATACTTTCAGCATGTTGCAATCATGATCAATCTATTCCAGCCAAGGATTTGTCTGCCACAAAACAAATCTGATTAAGAATTGATGATCATTTTGTCATATGTTAGAGAGCACGATATGTACATTAATTGGGATCAGCAGATCTGGATATGGAAGCGATGTGGATATTGATTCTGTGTGTGTAGTTTTAGTCTTGAGAGAAGGCATCTTAGAAATGTATAACATTTTAAATGGAATTGAAAATGTAAACCCAGAACAATCCAGTACTTTAGTATGCACCGAGACGAGAGAAAACGAGGACATAGATTTAGAGTGGCAAAGAGCAATTTCAGGACAGACACCTGGAAGTTTTTCTCCCAGTTGTCTGTCCTGAAGTTGCTGAAGTCTGTCCAGAGCAATTAACAACTGGAATGTGTTGTGAGGCCAGCAAACTGGACTCAATTAAAATAAAAACATTGTTACTTTGGTGTGCTGACAGTAGGGTGGGTATTTTTTGATGGGTATGTTTAGTTGGGGATAGGGCAGAGACCTGTTGATACATTTGATTGTAAATCAAAGGTATCAAAGGGACAAACATTTCACTGATGTGTTGACTAACAATGGTCCAAATTTTCTCCCCGGTATTATTAGATTTCATGTTTTGGAATAAGTAAGGATCAAACATAACAATGCAGGAATTGCAGATTAGAAAAGGGTAGAATAAAAAAGGATTAGCATTTGCCAGCGCAGGCAAAAGGGAGGAAACAGGACAGTGAAGCAAACAAATGATGGCCTGTCTCTTTTCTTTTCTTGTTTCCACAGACCTCCTGCCGGCAGACAGTGGCGAAGGAGTTACATTTGCTTTTTTGGAACAACTTATGGACATTCTACTGCAGTACATTTTGAAAAGCTTTGACAGATCTACAAAAGTAATAGATTTCCACTACCCCAATGATCTCCTGGAAGGATTTAACTGGGAGTTGGATGAGCAGCCAAACACTTTAGAAGACATTTTGATGAGCTGCAGGACCACCTTAAAATACGCCGTGAAAACAGGTATTGAGAGGCGCGAACATAGAATTGTCTCTATTATTTAAATCAATGATTCGATAATAAGGGCTAAAGTGAGCACTCCATGAAACTGCTACTGTCCCCAACCTTATCTGTGGTTACATCAAGTGACGCAGTGCTGTGTAAGAATTGTCACATATATATATATCACTGTGTTTTCCTTTAACTGAAATTCACTCACAAAATGTAACTACATTTGAGACGGATGGTGCGTGATTTCAGCAGTTTAAGAACTGCATAGGGAATGCACAATGCATCGTGCAGGTTTGCTGGATCGGAGTATCATTCACTGCCTGAACTCAAGCCTGACATTCAAAGCAATATGAAAATCATAATATCTACTCCAGTGACAGGCCATTTATTAACAGCACTCATTCTGTAAGCCTGGTAGCACTATCTTCAGTGTTGCATTTGAATCTCAACTTTGACTCATATTCAGACTCTCCACAGTCTTGCCAGTGCTCAAATGGATCACTGTACAGTGTTGGAATATGTTGGGCGGAGGACAGGGGAGGAAGATAAACCTTTCGTATGATCAGTGCTCTGTCACAAGGAATGTAATATAATCCTTCTAACGTGCTGCTTTGCAGTCCATTTATTTCATGCTTCCTTAATAATAATAATCCTTGCATTTGATATAACACCTTAAAATGTATTTGAAATGTCTCAAATGGCTTCACAGAATATACTGTAAAGTTAATTTTAGATATATTTTGTGGGAGAAATGCGGCAGACAATTGTGCACAGCAGTGTTCCACAAACCGTCATGGAGTGAGTGACCAAATTATTATTACTTGGCCCTTCAAGCTATCATTGTATTGAGAGCTCGTGTCCCCAGTCCATTTGCAATGTGTCCGTTCTGGCTCGTGGACGCACACATACCTGATCACATTAAAGAGCGGCATTGTTGGCAAACGTAGCAAAATGTACGGTCAATACCGTCCCAATGTCTCAGTGGAAGGGGACATGTAATAGGCAAGGCAGCAGTAAGAGAACTATAAGGGAAAACATGTCATTCAGAAGCATTCAGTGATCACACGAGAATAGTCAAAGGACGAACTATACCATAATGCCTGTAATTTGTCTGCGAATCAAGTTTATCTTAAATTTTATGATCACTCAAAATTAGGAAAATTCTCAATCTTAATTTGGAAGCCAGTTCTTTTCAAGAACAGCTTTCAAATGAAGACTGAATTAAAGAATTTACCTCAATTCTGCACAACCTTAAAGTTTAGAACAGAATGATCTTAGGACAACGTAAATTGTGTGTCTTTTTGAGCGTCACTGACTCACATTTTGATTGTCGCTAACTGACTATTCAAACTATTCAGTTTCCCAGCATGTGCAGTGAATTAACAACAAGCACCTCAGCAGTCGGTTCCATGATTAGTTCAATTACAATAATAATCAGAGCCAATGTGAGTTAACAATACCCTTCTTTTGAAACAAAATCATATTACTGATCTTTTCACAAGTTTCGAAGGCCTATTATGTTTTTTTCAGGTTTTCAGGTCCTTTCTCTCTTGTTGTCCTTTCTGCAACGCTCTTACCAGAGTAAAAAGAACCCAACGTGTGCCTTGAATATTAATTAACTGGTGTTACCATGGTTCCTGAAGCTAATGGCTGTAAATAGCAGCTGATTTGCAGCAGTTATACGACATAATGGTGCTCTGCATTCAGCGACAGCAGCAGTAAAGTCTTTAAATGCTGGACCATGTAACATATATTTTTTACAGGCTGTTACGGCGTGGATGAGTTCTGTAAACAATCTGGAGGAAGGAAGAGCAGCTCAAAAAAGATTGCTACTAGCATCCGGACATCAAGCTTATCACCTCCACATTTTTGCTTCCGTCCTCACTGGGTCGTATGGATCAGCCCCCTCCTCCCTCCTCCCACATGCCACCGACATCATCGCGTAACACACGCCATGCTGCCAAGCACATTCCAGTGCCATCGCAGGTGTTTTGCGATGCAGTCATTCGTACTGCACGCACATTTCATTGCAGCACCTGGCACTGAACCTGGCCAACAATTCTCCAGCTAACATTGGTCATCCACTTCATGGCTGTTTGTGAGATGTTGCTGTGCGCAAGTTGGCTGCCGTGATTGCCTCCAAATACGTAGTGTTTGAAGGGATCCAGTTATCCACAGCCTTTTGGGGCAGAGAGTTCCAGATTTCCACTACCCTTTGGGTGAAAAACTGCCTCCTGATTTCACTCCTAAATAGCTCTTAGCTCTAATTTTACGATAATACCCCCTTGTTCTGGGTTCCCCCACCAGAGAAAATAGTTTCCCTCTATCTACCCTATCAAATCCATTTATTATTTTAAAAAACTCAATTTTACTGCTGGGAGACACTGCTAGCCACCAAACAGCAGCGGATTACACTCTTTATCTCTTTGACCTCCTAGAAACAATAATAAACCACATTCATCTATAAGCACCTCCTGAGGCAATGATGCTTCCTCATCTACATTATAATCCTCCAAATCATCTTTGCAGTTGAATGTATGGCCTTAACATGTCATCCTAATGTCTCAAAGCAAGTAAGGGCTATGGAACAGCCTTCATGGGCTGTTGGCGTATTCACAGGATCAAAAGCTTCGATGAAGAACATGCTTAGGCCCATTAATCTCATCCCTCTAGAATACCCACCCCACCATAGCGTCTCATCACCGAATCAAGTTGTTTTATAAATGAGTCTAATGTCCTGGCCTCTACCACCTTTCCTGGCAACCTATTCCAATCATTGGTTTCCCCTCTGTGTGAAGAAAAACTTCCTGGTATCTGTCCTGAAATTGCCCTTTACAACTCTAAGCATATATCTTCTTGTTCTGCTGTCTTGTCACATCCTAAAGCATTCCGTGTTTGCTTTTTCAATCCTATTTAAAATATTGTCTCTGTGAAGTTCCCTCTGAGTTGTCTTTTCTCAAGACTGAAGAGCCCTAGCTTTCTTTAATCATTGCTCACAGGTTATTTCTCTAACACTGGGATCATCCTCGCTGCTCTCCTCCGGACCACCTCTAGCGGCTAGGCAGCTCCCTGCTGTGTCAGTGATCAGAACGATATTCAGTATTCAAGGTGCGGTCTGAACAGAGCACTGTATAGCCTGAGTGTGACATCTGGGCATCTAAACCAACTGATTTAACAATAAATCCCAGCATTCTGGTTTGCCTTGTTTATTGCTGCTTTGCCTGTAACCTGTACTCATTCCTCTTCTGATACTGTTTTTTTCACACCTCCTTTTCTATGTTCCACTGATGATGGTGGGACTGCCTTCATGGTTTGTTCTGTAATATAAACAGGGTTGTATTTTCCAGCAATCATATTGTTTAGAGATTCACATGGAAAATCAGATATAATTATCATTACTCAACAGAGAAATTATTTTGGGTCTCTATTGGCAAAGGCTTATTGCAGGTATCTGACCTCACAACCCTCTTGGCTCAGGTTATTATTTTGACATCGGTAAAGCTAACCTTCGCTGTGTGTTTGCTCATAGGTCATCCTAGATATTTCAACCAGCTTTCAACAGGATTAGACATGGTTGGCCTCGCTGCTGATTGGCTCACCTCCACTGCTAACACTAACATGTAAGTGAATAATTTCAATGTTGTCTCAGCTTTACGCTACACTACATAAAGTGCTCCTACTCTGTCTCACTACCTTCACTCAGTGTAATGCTAGCAGCTTCCACCCACCCCACCTCCCCCCGGCAGCTGATCACTTTCTGATGAAAAGAACAACTGACAGGAAACCAACTTTATATAGTCAATGCGATACAAATTTTTGTTTGTGTTGGATTGTTTCACCTTTTATGTCCAGAGGATGTCCCAAGGCTCTTGACACTTCTGGCTTGGTACCCAAACTGGGAGTGGGAGGCAAAGGAGGTGTGGAGGGGAAAGATGACCCCAAGCAAGGTCAAGGGAGTAGGTCTTTGACCGAGCCTTCAGCTCCCCTCTCGACTCTCTTCCCCCTCCTCGCTCCCTCCCTTCCCTCCCCTCACCCTGACCATTCCCCCCCTCCTCGCTCCCTCCCTTCCCTCCCCTCACCCTGACCATTTCCCCCCTCCTCGCTCCCTCCCTTCCCTCCCCTCACCCTGACCATTTCCCCCCTCCTCGCTCCCTCCCTTCCCTCCCCTCACCCTGACCATTTCCCCCCTGCTCGGGTCATGACCCAACTGTGCAGCGCCTTGGGACGTCCTCCTGACGTGAAAGGCGCTTTATAAATGGAATCTTGTTCTTGTTGTTGTTGTTGTCTTGAGATCGACCTTGAAAAAGGTGAGGAAGGGAACGCATTTTATTATATTTATATGGTCAGTTTCCTGATCTAGGCCAAGAACATGGGTATAGAAACAGCAACAACTTGGATTTATAGATCGTCCTTCAGATGAAGTAGCATCTCGGAGCACTTGACAGTGGCAGAGCTTGACACCGAGTTGGAGAGTGGAGGGAGGTAACCGTAGACCAAGTCAAAGAGAAAGTTCTTCAGGTGTGATCTGAAGATGGACAAGGAGGAGGCAAGACAGAAGGAATGAGATAGAGGATTCCAGTGTTTTGGGTTGTAATGGCTGAAAGCATGGTCGGAGCAGAGAGGATGAGGTACTTGCGGAATGCAAGAGCCAGCTGAGGTAAGGGGGTGGGTAGAGGAATCCCGTCTACCTGATCAAGTGGATTGCATGGCACTATTTGAAAAGAGTAGAGAGTTTCTCCTGGTGTCCTGACCAACAATCCCTAACCAGATACAAATTGGTGATTTCCATTCATGGCTGTTTAAGGAACATCCCTGTGTGCAAATAGGCTGCTCCGCTCACCTACAAAATACACAGTCACAACTTTACAGTAAATCCTTTAAAGTGTCTTGAAATATCCTCCAAATGTGGAAGTTGCTATATTATATGCAAATAATATTATTATTTTTGACTTCAGAGCCAGTAGGTGGAGTTCTCCCCTCTGCCCTTTCTAAATCAATGGTGCAGAACTCCACCCAGCTGCCTACATTTTAATAAACACTATTAATAGGATTGGGTGGAGTATAATGCAGCACACTGGCTGTAGAATGTAATATCTCTAGCTACAGAATATACAACCACCAGCCACATAATACAGTACTATTGATTACAAAACCAGTATCATTGGCCAAAGAATATAGTGCTCGCTGTTCCCAGAATAAGGTACAAATGGCCATAAGTTACAGTATCATCTGGTTACAGAATATAACATGAGGTAGAATAATATTACTAGTATTTTATATAGCTCCTTTCGCATTGGAAAGGTGTCTCAAAGCACCTCACATGATTTTATGTAAAGTGCAGTGACTTTATATTTTAGACATACATAGCAGCCAAATTGCAAACAGCAAGGTTCCGAAAACAGCCATGAAGTGGACGATCAATTTTATTTGGGGAATTATTGGTCAAATAGTGGCCTGGGATCAAATAGGATCTTTTCAAATAGTGGCCTGGGATCTTTAACATCCATCTGAACAGGTAGCCAGGACTTTGGTTTAACATCACATCTGAAGGACGGCATCTCCAACAATGCAGTGCACTTCCTAAACTGCATTGAAACGTCGACAACAATACCAAATTACATCAGGCCAGACTATGGGTTCAAAATCCTGTCGTGGGGCTTGAACCCACAAACTTCTGACTCAAAGGCAAGAGTGCTACCAACTGAGCCAAGGCTGACACCCAAATGTTGGATGGTCTTTGAGTACAGGTAAGTTATCTTGATCCTGGTATTTGCCTTCATGGTGTGTTTAATGTTCGGGATAGCAATTGAGTTGAGGATGCTTGGAGCTGTAAGTGAACACCACTGAGTTGGTCTAATCATTCTGCATCACTTCAGTTTGACTCAGCAGTCGTTGATCAGTATTTGAACTCTCTCCCGTTTTTGACTCTAGCTGCTGTGTTAATGATCATGTTAATGAGTTCAGTAAGTTTTATTCATACCACAATTGTTTCATTTAGTAGGGAGAAAACCCCATCAGCATTCATTTTCTCTTCTGGTCCTCATCTTCAACGCCCTCCACGGCCTTGCTCCTTCCTACCTCTATGACCTCCTATTCCCTTAGCTAATCTGGCCTGCTTCACGTCCCCTGCCTTGTCCGCCCCATCGTTGGTTGACAGGCCCTCAGCCTCTCTGCCCCCTCTGGAACTCCATCCACAGTCCCTCCACCTTGCCCCCTCCCTTGCGTCCTTCAAGACCTGTCTCAAGACCCTCCTCTTCGACCATGCCTTCGGTCACCCTCCTACCTCTGCCCTCCGCGCCCTCCACCCCACCTGAACCCAACCAGCTCGGGTGCGGATCCCTGACTGTCCAGCGCCTTGGGACATCCTCCCGACATGAACGTCTGTATACAAATTTAATTTGTATACAAAAAAATTAATTTGTTGTTGTTGTTGCCATATTTCCTTTCACAGTTTGTATGGCTTTCTCTCCAAATCTCGCAAGCCGACGCTTCAAACCTCGCAAACCCAACTTTCAGACTTCCCAGCCTTTAAGTGTCAGCCTGGCTCAGTCAGTCACATTCCTGCCTCCGAGTCAGAGCTTGTGGGTTCAAGCCCCATGACAGGATTGTGAACTCCTAATCTAGGCTGACAATCCAATACAGGGCTGGAGAGGTGCTGCATTGATATGTCAGACTAGACTACATTTGGCTTAGTCTTTAGCCCCTTGACTAAAATCTCACGTTACTGTAGGGTATTCCTATTAGAAAGAGATGCTGAGTATACTTTTGTAGCTTTCTATAAAGGTTCATATACCGATGCCTCTGCCATGTTATTGTTGGAGAAATGATCTGTCAACGTTACCCAATATTAAATTAGGTTTTGCTACATTTTAAAATATGCCCACTTTTTGATGCTCACCTTTGCCTGACAACAAGGCAACCTGTCCCTCTGCCTTTGCTACTTAGCAGTACTTATTGTATAACCACCCACTGGGAGTTGGGGGGTACAGCTCCTCTGCTTCCTCTGGTTCCCATTAGTGCTTCAGTCCTCAATACTTACTGCATTATAACTGCTGTTACGGTCTGGAAGACACTGCACGAAAGGCTGGTGGAAGCAGATTCAATAAGAACATTCAAAAGGGAATTGGATACACACTTGAAAAGAAAAAAAGTTCAAGGTTATGGGGAAAGAGCGGAGGAGGGGGTCTAATTAGATAGCTCTTTCAAAGAGCCGGCACAGGCACGATGGGCCGAATGGCCTCCTTCTGTGCTGTAAGATTCTATTATTCTACAAAAAATATATAACTGGAAGAACGGGAGAAATGCAGATTACAAATCACAAAGTTGAAGCAAAGCAATTAGCAGGATTTCCTCTGCTGTGACTTGACCAGCCCCTGCTCTCTGATTGTAGGGTAACTGAGAAGATTACAGAAAAAACTTAAAATGATATAACGGTAGTCCAGTTCAAAAGAAATGTGTACGTATGCAGTTGTGTACGTCACCGCGGCAGTGGGATACGATTATATCTCTACTTGTGACGCTGACTGTTCCTAGCTCCCGGCTTCTACGCTCCTTGGCTACTCTGTCAACCCTCACCAGCAGCCACAGAGCACAATGAGATGTGTTCTGGCTGTGGCTATTCTTTCTAAATTTATACAAATTGACTGCCTGCTCCCCGGAGTTATCTATAAATAGAATTCAATTGCAAGTTTTCTTTGAAGCACAAGTCACCTTGGAAAGGCACATAGATCCCTCTTGTGGCAGAAATGGGATATGGTCTCTACAGACGAGATGTAGAACATAGAAAGGTAAACAATGTGCTTTATCCTTCTATGATTTCTGGAAGTGGTAGTCCTGCGAAATGTACATTGTGAGGGCAGAAAGCTGAGGATTAGATCTTTATAATAATAATAATAATGATAATAATCCTTGCATTTGATATAGCGCTTTTCACGTCGGGAGGACGTCCCAAAGCGCTTCACAGAACACACTGCAAAGTGAATTGACTGTATGTTTGTGGGCGAACCCGGCAGCCAATTGTGCACAGCAATGTCCCACAAACAGTCGTAGATTGAAAATGACCAATTTATTATTGTTTTTGGTTTTGGAGGGATTATTATTAGGCTCTGTGTGGAGTAAGGAAACTTGCCCAAGGTTTCGCCCTCTGCCTGGAATTGAACTCAGGTCTCTCGCTTGCAAAGCGAGTGCTCTAACCACTGAGCTACAGGACTCCACTTTTATACTTACTATCTCTTTAGTTATTTATTCATACCTGTGATCTTACATACTCGATAATTGGCATCAACAAAACTTCTTTGCCCTTAAAGTTGTCCTAATCTGATGTGATGTTTGCTATTTTTTTACAAACTAGACACTTGTTTCCAGCCCAAAATGTATTGATCATGCGTTTATTACCCTGAAATCAACATGTAAGATTATCTTTCACCAATAATCTAGAGGATTTTTTTATGAATTGTCCATGTTAATCTACCTGGCTGCCCATCAAGGCTGTCGAGAGATCCATTTAGGAAACAACAACACTCAATTAAAAGCCAATAACAGTCACGTTCACCCACAAAATATACAGTCAATTCATTTTACAGTATATTCTGTGAAGCGCTTTGAGACGTCTCAAAGACGTGATAAGGCACTATATCAAAAGCAAGGATTATTATTATTAATTAAGAACCAATGTGGACTGGTTAGAACAGTTGAAAGGATACTGGGAATGGTATACAGGGTGTGGTTATTGGAACAGACTTGGTATGTGAGCAACACAGCAGTAGGTGGTGAGTATTTGGTACAAAGGCATCAGGTTCCCTGTCAGTTTGTAGACTTTTCCATATGAAGCACCAGGGACAGACTAGGGTTCATCCATTTGTTTACTATTGTAGTGAACATATCTTAAGATAGACCCAAGACTACCATTTTCTCTGACCATCCAGAAGTCTAATATTTGAGACAGTAATTCCCCTGACCAATCGATGAATTTACATGTTACCATCGGGACAGTCTGAGATTTTTTGATAACAGACACAAAGCCACCCAAAATCCCAAATAAAATGTCAAAATTCTAATTGTTTTTAAAATATCCCAAAGTTTTTTAGTTTAGAATATATTGACTGTGCATGAGTGAAGCCAACCCATTTACTTCCTGTGTGCTGGCCAGTTCCCGCACTGAAGGAAAAATTGACAAACTCCAGGTGATAGGGTCACAACCAACATCACTTCTGTTTTCTGCCCGTGTACATCAAAGCAAGAAGTGGTGACACCGGTAAACCAATGACCTGTTTGGCCATTTTGCTGTGCAAAGCCAGTAAATGTATGGAAGTGTTCATGCGCAGTGAATGGAGTCCACAGTATAATGGCGTTATAACTGAAATTGCACTATAATGAAGCACATTATAATGGGGCTACACTGTGCAGAGGGATTTCCAACTGCAAGAAGATAGATACTCGAGTTAGCCTACAATCATCATGCAACAGGCCCAAATATCGACCTGACCTGAGAGTGCTGCAAACTGAAATTGCATGGTCAAAGGAGCAGTTGTTTTCTGCCCCAGAATTAATATCCCTCATATTGACGCATTCTCAATTGGTAGCATTCTTATCTCTAGGTCAGAAGGTTGTGGGTTCAATTCCCACATTGGGACTTGGAATTTCGTATTGTCTAAGCTGACACTCCAATGGAGTGCTGGGGATCTGCTGCGTTGTTGGAGGTGCCGTCCTTCGGATGAGATGTACAAGATCCCACGGCGCTATTCAAGAAGAGAAGGGAGTTTCTCCTGACGGCGTCCTGACAATTAGGGTCATGAGTAGCAGCCCACAAAATACACAGTCACTCCACTTTACAGTATATTCTGCGAAGCGCTTTGTAGTATCCTTCTGACCTGAAAGACGCTATACCAAATGTAAGGATTATTTATTATTATTATTATTATTAATAGTAAGCAGCCCCACATCAGATATTGTAATAATTTGGGGCTTCATTCTTATTGTTATATACTATCATACTTTGACATGATAATATATGGATGCAGCTTTTCAGTGCTTAAAATAATCATCTTTGTCGAACAGACAGTAATGTGCTCAGTGGGTAATATATTTTCTATGTTACAAATTATCCTCAGGTTCACATACGAGATCGCCCCAGTGTTTGTTCTGTTGGAGTACATCACCCTGAAGAAGATGAGGGCAATGATCGGCTGGCCAGGAGGATGTGGAGACGGAATATTCTCACCTGGTATATGACCCTTCAAGGTCTCTCCGGGATTCCAAACTCTTTGTGCAGTTAAATTAACAAGGAAGTTAATTTAATCCGGGGAGGATGTATTATCTGGTCGCTCAGTCCAAAAGCAAATGGGCTTGATTCTTTTGGACAGCTAAAGCCTGAAATTCCATTTTATCTGTAAAGCTGTTTTGTCATCAATTTTAAGACTGTGCAGAAATGTGGTAAATTCTTAAATGCGGTCTTAATTTGGAAGTTGTTTCTTTTTAACAACTGCGGAAAACTGGCTTCCAAAATGCCCACCCTACTGTCTACTTTTCACAGCATCAAGCTGTTTTTTTTAAATAAGTCCAGGACCCTGGTCTAAGCCAGCCTTCATGGTTATCTAGTCATTAATTACCCTCTGGATACAGAAATACTTTTTGGTGTTTGTTCTAAAATTGCTCTTAGCAATTCTAAACCTTTGTCCTCTTGTTCTGCTGCTTCAACAGATCTGAAAAGATTATTGTGAATTTACTTTCTCAATTCTCTTTAAAATCTCATATACCTCCAGAAGGTCCCTTCGCAGATGTCTCTTTTCAAGACTGAAGAGCCCAAGTTTGTCAAATAATTACTTGAACCTGATTCCTCTAACAGTGGAGATCATCTTCATTACTTTCATTTGCATTGCCTCTGGGGCAGCCCCCTCATGCATTCGAGGCCAGAATTTGTGCAAATCCCCCAAATAAAGAAAATTGGTCACTCATTGCATGGCTGTTTGTGGGACATTGCTGTCAAATGGCTACCACATTTCACCCACAAAATTTACAGTATATCGTGTGAAGTTCTTTGAGACTCCTCGACAATGTGATAAGGGGCTATATCGAATGTAAGCATGATTATTATTATTCCCCCCAGTCAGTGTTATCTACAAATTGAACTATCTTCCACTGAGTCTGTGAATCAGGTCATATTATAGGCAAAGGAGCAGCAGGGTTCCAGTATATCAATGACATCGGTTCCTGTAGGGGTCCAAACATAGAATAAATAATGAAGGATTACTGATGGTAAATGTTTAGTAAGAGGAGGGAAGAAGGTTTGCAGTTAAAAACACATCCACAGACATTAAGGTAAAATTTGCAGGTGTTTCTTCCTTGTACTAATTAATACAAGGAATGGGAGATTACTGCAAATTTTAATCCTTTTATTGCGTCAACGTTGAATTGTTATCAGAACGATTCTTGATTTAATGACAGATTGGAGGTGGGGAGGACAGCTAAAACATCTGTCTTTTATGATCAAAAAGGAATCAATTTCCCAATATTGCAACGCATTATAATAGAGCTCAAAGATCAATGTCTGTTCTAATGATAGAACCTCAAGATTGTGTGTTATAGTCGCACATTTTCTTTTTGAAGAGTATATGAGCTGCTATAGATTGAATTCATTTATTCCTGCAGTGCTTCTATTTAGGGAAGAAAATAATAAAAATTTGCACTAATTTTCAGTGTAATGAATTACAAAGAAAATATTTGCAGTGTCCAATACTCTTTTGATCTATTTGGGTTGCATTTGCTGGTGTAAATGCAGCTAATGACAAATTATTCTTATTTTTATCACATTTTATATCATGGAAAAATCAAACGTTTGCTGCCTTCAGAGAATTATGTTGAACAAATGCCTGTCCTGGATTGAACAGTTTGCTGTCCGCTTTATTTATTAACAAACACAATAAATAATAAAAAAAACTTACACTTGATCTATCACCTTAGCCAGGCAGGTCCATAGTATTCCAGGGCACTGCTGATGACAGCACAGTCAGCATAGCTTATCGGCAGGATCTGGAAAGGCAGACCAGTCACTGGGGCAGGAATCCTCCCATTCATTCATGTTAACCCTACAAGCCAAAGCCCTAACAGGTATAGTGTTCCTAGCTGGACAAGCAGTGGGAGAGCTTGCCAGACTGCGATATCGATGGCAAGCTATGTGGTTTTAGCTGGTCAAACTCAAGCATAACCCCAACACATACCCTGGGGTCCCCAAGACTTGGCTCTCGCCAAACTGCGCCTAATACTGTCCAAAATTAGCGAAGTAGGATGCGTTTCTAAAGGGAGAGAGTGCACATTCCATTCCAACAATCTATCTCTGGGATTTGCACGTGTAGGTTGGATGTATGAAATTCTCAGTTTGGTTTAGAAACTCTTAAGCATAGTGATGTGTTTCCACATGTGTTAGACACTTGGCTGACTCCCTCCAAAAATCTCTCCCTTGTACATCAAGAGCACACCTCAAAGCATTTCATTGGATAATAATAATAATAAAAATAATAATAATAATAGTAATAGTAATCCTTGCATTTCATATAGTGCCTTATTACATCTTAGAAACATATCAAAGTGCTTCATAGAATATACTGTAAAGTGAATTGACTGTATATTTTGTGGGCGATATATAAAGTGTAATAACACTGCATCTTGGAGGAAAATAGAGGCAAATTTAGTCCATGTAATCCCATATAACCCTAGAAATTTACAACACAGAAGGCCATTCAACTCGTCATTCAACCCGAACCATCTCATGCAGTGTTCCTCAGGGCTCTGTCCTGGGTCCCCTTCTCTTCAATATCTATATGCTCCTTCTTGGTGACATCATCCGCAGACATGGGGTCAACTTCCACATGTATGCGGATGACACCCAACTCTACCTCTCTGCCTCCACCCTTGACTCCAGGACCACTGCTGTCCTGACTGAATGTCTGTCGGACATCAAGTCCTGGATGAGAACTAACTTTCTTCAGTTGAACGTCAACAAGACTGAGGCCCTCCCGATTGGCTCCCGTCAGCGCCTCCTCACCTCAGGCGCTGACAGCATCACCATCCATGGTTGCACACTCCACCTTGCTAAGCCAGTCCGGAATCTTGGGGTCTTGTTTGACCCTCAACTATCATTTCTACCCCACATCTGCGCCATGACCCGCTCTGCCTTCCCCCACTTCCGCAATGTTGCCCGGCTCCACCACTGTCAAGTGTAATTTTGTTGTTGTTGTTGTCATGTCTGTACTGTCTCTTTGAAAGATGAATCCATTCAGTTCTGTTTTCCTGCTTTTTCCCTATACACCTGCAAATTATTCCTTTTCAGACATCTAAACATAAATTTCTATAGTTCTATATATCTAATCCTCTCTTGAAAGCTGATATGAATTATGCCTCAATCATCGCACCCAGCAAGGCATTCCACATCTTAACTCTCTGTGTAAAAGAAAATCCTTGCAACATCCCTCTTTGCTTCTTTGCTAATTGTCTTAAATATAGTGTACTCTGGAATCCTTCCTAAAGTGGGATGACCAAAACAACACAATACTCAAATTGGGATCCACCTAATGAAGGTTAAGCATCATCTCTGTAGTTTTATATTCTTATTAAATGTGGGGATTGCAATTGATGATTTCTTCATAGCTTTGATCATCCACCTTCCCACCTTTCAAGATTCTTCCAGAAATCCAATCCTTCAATCTTGCCAACACATTACCAATCAGTTCTTAAATATATCCATTGTCTTGGTCTCGATCATCCTTCTCGTACAGATGTTGCATTATATCTGTATACAGAAATGCTTCCTGTGCTGTGAGTGTCACTTCTTATCCTGCTGCCTTGGTATATCTGAGAATATTGTTCCAGGTTTACGTTCTCTCTTCCATTAAGAAATAAGGTAATGGAACCGTGGCCTAGAACCAAAGGTTAAAGCACCGTGGTTGACATTTTCCATTGTCAGTATTTTCTACTTGTCGGTGATATGTGCAAGACAAGAGTTGTTTTAACACACTGTCTCTTCTTACTTACTGTGCAAGCTGACAGTAATTGTGTTCTCCTCCAGGTGGGGCCATATCAAACATGTACGCCATGCTGATTGCACGCTACAAGCTGTTTCCTGAAGTTAAAGAGAAGGGAATGGCAGCCATCCCCAAGCTGATTGCCTTCACGTCTGAACATGTATGTCTTTTTTTGATTACGAATGTTAAAACCTTATCCAACATCAGCATCTGTTCAAGATGCTTACAATGGAAGTCTCTTAAAACGCCTGACAAATAAGCCATCTTTGTTAGGAACATTGCTCATGACGGTAAAGCTGAACTTTGTTCTTTGAATGTTTGCTAGTACTCTAATAAACATATGACAGTAAAGATTAACTAGTGAAGGGAATCAACAACCTAGATTTTCCCCTTAACAAGGATTATGTTAAGATACTATATCAAATATAAGGAATATTATTAATATTGTTATAATACACGGATTATTATCATATAAGTCTTTTGATGTGTCGTTATTTGCAGAGCCACTTTTCAATAAAGAAATCAGCTGCAGCCTTGGGGATTGGTATGGACGGAGTGGTTCTGATCAAGTGCGATGTAAGGTAGATCACATTATCATCAAAGCAAACTGTGCTACATGCAGCGTGGACCATTCGCCAGACAATAAGAGGATGCCTCTTCTTACAGTCTTGTGAAAAGGGACTACTGGTGGACAGTCTGCCTATATGTGCCTGTGACACTGGCACTTAGCAGCTAACAGACAGCCCAGAGCTAACACACTGCGGGCAGCAGCAAGCTTCAAAATGGTCATTGTATGTAGGTCTGAACGTTTTAATAGAGCACTTAGACCACTTAGTAGGGAGAAGTCCATCAAGGAACCAGAACTAGCTCTCATGGCTAGGACAAGGCCAGCTTCTATCAGAGTACTGTAGTCTCTGAATGGGGAAGAATGGTGAGCTTATTAGTGTACCTATATGTTCTTCCACAGAACCTGGTCCTATACACTTCCCCAAGTCCCAGCACTATTAGACATTGGGAATAAGGAGTATCATATACCTGCCAGGTTTAACACAAGCAGTAATATTCAGTTAGCTTCTGACAGTGAATCAGAATTCTCTCCCTCAATCTTTGATCATTTGTTCAAAGCTGCTCCTCCCCAATTCAGGGTAGAAGGTTTCCCCATTGACTGTAACTGGGAGAAGTCCCCTGTGGCTTCTCCCAATCCTGCATGATTGATATAAGGGAATGTTGCACTCAAGGTGCTGCTGAGCAGTGAAGTCAAGCCAGAGATGGACGAGAGGTGCAATTCGGTCACACCTCCATTGGTAAACATGCTTGAATGTACCTTTCTATACTTGCAGAGGAAGAATAATTCCATCTGACCTTGAGAGAAGAATACTTGAAGTCAGACAGAAGGTTGGTTCATTTCTGAACTTGGTCCAGCCCTGGACAATAAGCTGGACAGTAAATCTAAGGATTTACCCACCCGCTCTGAACTCCATATCCTCATCACACCAGTCCTCGCCAGGCCCCACTGGCTCCCTATGACAAAATGAATCGATTACAAGATCCTCATACTCGTCTACAAATCTCTTCATGCCCTGGCACCTCCCTACCTCTCCGTCCCGCCAAGGAGACATTCCATTCCACGGGAAAGTCTGGGAATATTCACGTTAAAAAAATTGGTTTGGGAATTGATAATCAACCTTTAATAGTTGAGCTAAGCTGGTGTTCCCTGAAACGCTGGGATCAGCTCAGCAGCCAAAGTAACAGAAGTGACTTGCTCTGTAACTGCAGAAACTGCATTGGGTGAAACCATTTTAGCAAAGTCCCCGACAGCAGTTAGCAATGGGAGATCTCCCACAGTGTGATATCTATCACATCAAATGCCACAATCATACACTTTATTACATCACAGAGTGAAACCAATTTGACAACAAAAAAAACATCTTGGAATTTGTCTTCAATGCTTCATTTCAATGCTTTCTCATTCTGCGCAGGGGTTTGTGCCATTCTATGTAAGTGCCACAGCTGGAACCACAGTCTACGGAGCCTTTGACCCTCTTGTAGCCATCGCTGATATTTGTAAAAAGTACAATATCTGGATGCACGTCGATGTAAGTGAAACATATTGTAAGTGGGCGGGAAGGGTGGTTCTTAGACAAACAATGTCTACAGCCAGACATTTTGTTTAAATAAGATTTTTTATTTTCTTCAACACTCTTCTACGGTGGGAATCACCAAGAGTAGAGTCATAAGCCTTCTTGTTCGCTCCTCAAATAGAGAGTGATTCCATGCCAACTACAGATGACCCCTTTTTTCTTCTCCCCCCAAATTATCTAATGGCAGGGAGATCCCTGAGCCTGTCCATTTCAGCAGGGATGTTCCTTCAGCAATCCCTTTAATATCATCTTGTACCAATCTGGTTTAGTTGATAGCAGCTTGTGGTGTCAAGCACCAAATCGGGACTTTGAGCTCATAGTCTAAGCTGGGAGGTGCTGCATTGTCTAAGGTGCCTTACTTTAGATGAGACTTTAAACCGAGGCTGTGTTTACCTGTTCAGGTGAGGTTTAAAGATCCCATAACACGAATCAAAAACAAAAAGGTGTTTCTCCCAGACTCCTGACTAACAATCTCGCAGATAAAGTTCACTTTGTATCTGTTTGCGGGACATTCCTTACACAAATTGGCTGCTGGGTTCACCTACAAAATACACAGTCACCACACTTTACGGTAAATCATTCATTGCGTTTGGAGACACCTACTGATGTGAAAGCACTATAGAAAATGCAACCATTGTTATTATGAATATCTTCAGCTATGTGTATTTCTGCCTGGTGTTATGTCAGCAAATACCAGAAACAGTGATTCTCCCAAAATATTCTTTTATTGCTGCAGGCAGCGTGGGGTGGTGGCCTGCTTATGTCTAGAAAACATCGCTGGAAACTAAATGGAGTTGAGAGGTAAAAGGTTTACCTTTTGGTAACCAGAAATCATCAAGCCAGCCTGTGGGAGCTCTGCTCCAATGCATTCTATTTCCAAAGTGGACTTCCTGTATGCTAACAGTGACTCTAATCATATTCTTTACTAAATTATCACCCTAAAGTACCAGACATTGCATTCAGATCATCTCATGAGCTGTGAAATTCATTTTAAAATCTTGATGTTTGTGTTTCAGGGCCTGTTCTGTCACCTGGAATCCACACAAAATGATGGGGGTTCCTCTTCAGTGTTCTGCTTTGCTTGTCAGAGAAGAGGTACCGGCTGTTTTTACGAAATCACTGACTGTGAATCGTTAATAGGGTCACGGGGTTTGAAGGTACTCAGGGCATACAGACCGAAGCTACCAAGTGGTAGTTGACATAAGGCAACGGGCCAGTGGGAGCATCTCAATTAGTCTCAACGTTTCTCAGATAGTGAGAGGAAAATTACCAATTGTTTAAATACAGTCAGTTGGGCCACAAGGCATCAAGTGACATTGAGGTGATAGAATATAAGAAAATCATACAAAGCAAATTTAACCTCGAACTATGTAGTCTAAAGGCCTTGGATTGAGTGCAACAAGAGAATCACAATAACTTTGCAGAGGACGCTAGTGGTATTTGCAGTGTGTAGTTGTATTGACATTGTGCAGAGGTATTTGCAGTGTACAGTGGTATTTGCAGTGTACAGTGGTATTTGCAGTGTGTAGTGGTATTTGCAGTGAACAGTGGTATTTGCAGTGCACAGTGGTATTTGCAGTGTGTAGTGGTATTTGCAGTGCATAGTGGTATTTGCAGTATACAGTGGTATTTGCAGTGTGTAGTGGTATTTGCAGTGTGTGGTGGTATTTGCAATGTATGGTGGTATTTGCAGTCTGTAGTGGTATTTGCAGTGTGTAGTGGTATTTGCAGTGCATAGTGGTATTTGCAGTATACAGTGGTATTTGCAGTGTGTGGTGGTATTTGCAGTATATAGTGTTATTTGCAGTGTACAGTGGTATTTGCAGTGTGTAGTGGTATTTGCAGTATATAGTGTTATTTGCAGTGTACAGTGGCATTTGCAGTGTGTAGTGGTATTTGATGAATGCAGTGTGTAATCCTATTTGTGCATATGTTTATGACATTCAGAAGAATGTAGTGTTTTATTTGAAATCAGAGTGTTTTTCAGCCTTTCTATCAATATGACAAATTGAACATTCTTCATTGCACATGATCCAGGGCTTGTTGCAGAGCTGCAACCAGATGAACGCCTGTTACCTCTTTCAAACTGACAAGCAATATGATCTTTCCTACGACACTGGGGACAAAGCCTTACAGTGTGGCCGTCATGTGGATATCTTTAAACTCTGGCTGATGTGGAGAGCTAAGGTACATTTTGTAGTCACTGTTGACCAAACCTCTGTCCGATTCCAATGGTATTACCAGAAGGGAGCACATATTCACTGTAGTCATTAAAAATTGCAAAAAGTTTAGTTTCCAGGCCACTATTTCCTTAAAACTTTGAAGAAGGATTAAACTATCATTAAAGTTGTAAGAAAATCATAGCCCAGAAACTGCAACTTTTTGTTATGTGATGATTAATTACAGAATAAATTGCACCTGTATGTGTTTGTACACCGTTAGCTTTTAGCCCAACTCGCAATTTAGACTCAAGTATATATGTTTACCTCAGAACTGAGCAAAAGCAAACTGAATGTAGCATTTTATTATTCCTGCAGGGCACAATGGGATTTGAAGCCCAAATTGACAAGTGTCTGGATCTTGCTGAATACCTGTACAATAAAATAAAAGACAGAGAAGGATTTGAAATGGTGTTTGACGGAAAGGTATTGTAATTTCAAACAATTCCAGGAATCCCTCAAACAAAATTGTCGTTCGTTTCATGGCTGCTTGTGGGGACATTTCTGTGCATCATGAGGCTGCTGCATTCTTCCACAAATACACTTCACATTAAATCCTGTGAAGCGCTTTGTGGTGATGTGAAAGGCGCTAAACCACATGGAAGAATTATTATTATTATTATTATTATTATATTATTATTATGTCCTTTGTGATTTGCTGAGCTGGGGAAATAGCATAATATTTTGCAGGTTTAACACCACAACTTTCTCAAGGCATGACATGAAAAGCTTTTTTTTAATTCTATTCGGCAGGAAATATTAGAGTGAAAAATGTGACACTCAATATAATAGTTATCGTTATAATAAATATCAGATTGACAAATTTAACCTTCTACACGCATCCCCAACTTCCCCACATTAAGAGCCTTTATTTTGTGCCACTTCAGCATAACCTTGGGAATTTCCAGTACGGGCTACTGCAATGTGCTTTTGAGACATTTTTCCTAAGTGAAAGATGCTGTTGGCATTGTCGTAATAACAGAACTCCTGATTAATACTGATAAAAGGTCTCTATTGTAGAAGCTATTGAAATAATTGTGGAATAAATACATTACAGTCAGAAATATTTATGTATGACTGCTATTCATAGAATCATAGAATTATAAAGCAAGGGCATTCAGCACATTGTGCCCGTGCCAGCTCTTTGAAAGAGCTATCCAAATTAATCACATCCCCCTGTTCTCTCCCCGCAGCCTTGCAAATTTGTCCTCCCGAAATATCTATCCATTTCTTTCTTGAAAGTTGTTATAGAATCTGCTTCCACCGCCCCTTCAGGCAGTGCATTCCAGATCTGAACAACTCGCTGTGTGAAAACATTTCTCCTCATCTCCCCTCTGGTTCTTTCGACGATTATCTTAAATCTGTGTCTTTCTAGTTACCGACCCACCCGCCAGTGGAAACAGTTTCTCCCGTTCACTTTATCAAATCCCCTTCATAATTTTGAATTAAATACCTCTACTAAATCTCCCCTTAACCTTCTGTGCTCCAAGGAGAGCAATCCTAGCTTCTCTAGTCTTTATTCACTTGATTCTGACAAGTAAATCTTCCATCCATTCTTTCCTGCTAAAATATATATTTTTTCAATTCTGCCTGTTCAGCCACAGCACACTAACGTCTGTTTCTGGTACGTACCTCCCAGTGTACGTTACATACAAGACAAAGAAGAAAGGAGGAATTTGCTCATGAAGGTGAGTCAATTTCAATATATTGTACACACACGCACACGAGAATTCGACATTTTCAGTACAAATGAAACAGAGACAGAGAAAACAACAAACTTGTGTTATTGTAACACCTTATCATGTCTAAGTGTCTACAACTGCTTCTGAATTAGAGGCTTATAGAGAGTATTGAACACCGTCACGATTGGCTGGGCTGAATGGTCTGTAAGAGCCTGTGTAACTCTTTGTAAAGTAATTATTTTCAAATGCAGTGAGTTAACGGGACAGCCATTTGCACCAACAGGGTCCCAATAACAGGCATATTCCAACCAACAATTAATCTGGAAAATTGTTGGCTGGGGTACTGACAGAAATATTTTCACGCAATGTCATGGGTTCATTAACTGAAAACAAACAGATGAATCTCAGTTGATGTCTCATCTGTAAGGCAGCAGTTCTAACAATGGAACAGTACTCATACAATCAAAGAAGTATACAGCACAGAAGGAGGCCATTCGGCCCATCGTGGCTGTGCCTGCTATAGTGTTTTGCCCACAAATATACAGTCAATTCACTTTACAGTCTATGCTGTGAAGCGCTTTGAGACGTCTAGAAGACGTGAAAAGCGCTATATCAAATGCAAAGATTATTATTATTATTACTGTACTATAGTGGTACATTTAGAGATGTATCTTGAAAAAGAAGGGGGAGAGTGGGACTCTAAAATGTATGGCATTGAATATACAGTCAATTCACTTTACAGTCTATGCTGTGAAGCGCTTTGAGACATCTAGAAGACGTGAAAAGCGCTATATCAATGCAAAGATTATTATTATTATTACTGTACTATAGTGGTGTGTCAGCTGAGACTATGACCTCAAGTCTCACCAATTTCTCCACGGTCTTATTTTTGTCTGAAATTAGCAGTATTCAGTGCCATACATTTTAGAGTCCCACTCTCCTCCTTCTTTTTCAAGATACATCTCTAAATGTACCAGCTTTGGACATCTTTTCCCTCCCCATCCCCTCAGCTTCCACCCCCAGCTCATCCAACATTGTGAAGCACTTTTGAGACATCCTCCCAACGTGGAAGGAGCGGGATAAACATAAATTCTATTATATTGTGAAAGCAACTTGATAGTGTTTTTCTTCTTAAGACGCTGGCAAGTTGCTTCCCTAATTCAGATACTTCCTTTTCTTCCCTTGTTTAGGAACTGTAGTTAAACTGGTTATAAAATGCATATTAAAGTAGTTTTATTGTCACATATTGGTTCTGTGTGACCTTCTGCAACCCTGCCACCTGGCTGGTGTCATCGCTGGGCTGCTGACTTCAGAGTGAGATTTGTCAATCTAACGTACTTTTGGTCATTTCAGGTGGCCCCACAGATTAAAACCAGAATGATGGCATTTGGGACCACAATGGTAAGTTATCAACCACAAGGCGACAAAGTTAATTTCTTCCGCATGGTCATCTCAAACCCAGCAGCAACACAGGAAGATATAGATTTCCTGATTGAGGAAATCGAACGGCTCGGACACGACCTGTAACTGCAAGGGCAAGGCATCCACGATAATACAACGGAGTTGTTGCTAATGTGTGAATGTATTTAATTGTTTATCTCCCCCCCCCCCCCCCAAAGTGACTCTGGTTTTGACCAGTGGCCAAACAGAGGTTGGAGCTGAAGGCTTCCTATGTGGAATTAAGGGTGTTGCAAATTATTTAACGCCATTCTCAATAGTCTGAAATAGCAAGAGCTTTGAATCATAAGTGACAGGCAGCGTCCCAGAAACATTGATCTAAGGCATTAAGTAATTCCGATATTGAAGTCAAAGTGATGCATTAATAGTAAGTAAAGCACTTTAAAATTCACTTGGATATTTTATCTTATTGATGTAATATCCATCTCAGCATGCATAATGCACCAATAACAGGCACCATTTCAAGTCATTACTGTTTTTAAAGGCTGACAAACTTTTTTTTCTGCATTTTTCCTGGAGTTTAGCAGAGCTGCAAAAGATTTCAGATCCAAAGCCCATGAGCCTTATTTGTGATTTTGTTCTCTTTGTCTAAATGCAATAAAAATAATTTTAAGGAGAGTCTTCCTCTCAATCCAACCTAGTTTGCTCTATTTGATGTATATATTTATATATATTTATATATATATTTATATATATTTATGGTCAGCCGCACACGGAAACCCATCAAAACCAAGCTGAGAATTCCATGCATCCCATGTATTAGAATGGAATGGGCACTCTCTCCCTGGAGGCTTGCATCCTAATTCCCTAATTCCGGAGAGTATATATAGAAATATATTTAAGGGTTCTGCATTAAAGTATCAAATTCAATATAATATTTATTTTGGTAGAGAAAAAAGTTGCTTTAATACGTTTAATTGCCAATATTTGAATATGTGAGTTCAATGTTTGAAATCCTCCGATCAGAAGTTTACATGAACGGTGTGTTTCTGTGATGTTCTTCTTGATGTAAAGAAATACACAAAGGACTATTCTGTTGTTAACTGGAGATCTATCAATGTCCGTGAATGTGTCTCCTTTGTAGAACTTTTGAGTAATGTCTAGTTTACCTCAGATTGAGGCTGTGCACTTCAGAATCAAGATGTACTGTGTTGACTTGACAATGGTTTAATGTACTGGTATGCTGTTTTTACACCATATTCTTACTAGGTAAATGTGGTTTTGGTACCTGGAGACTGTGAATAAACACTCCGTCTTGTCCTCCACACCCAACATGCTGTCAATTTGTGTTAAGATCTCAGTGCAATCACCCCCATGATACAAAAATCATTTTCGCTATTTGCCACTAAATTCTAGAGTATAATAATAATCTGTCTCACCTTCGGTAGTCAGGCCTTTTTGCCCCCACCTTCCGGAACTCCCTCCCTCATTTGCCTCATTCCTTCTCTCGTCTCCTTTAAGGTTCTTTTTCAAGACTTTTCTCTTTGACCACGCCTTCAGTTATTTTCCCACCCCTTTGGCCCCCACCCCTCCCGAATCCAACCCCCAACTCAGGTGCAAACCCTTGACTGTCCAGCGCTTTGGGACATCCTCCTGACATGAAGGACGCTATATAAACTCAATTTGTTGTTGTTGTATGTTGTTAAAACATCGCAAAGTGCTTCACGGCAATTATGGTTAAGCGTAATGACTGTACTTTTAGGCAAACATGACAGTCGATTTGCTCACAGCAAGTTCCCTCAAGCAGCCAGTAAGTGTGTGATCAATTCTCTGGAGGATTATTGGATATGGTGTTATGGCCACATTCAATTAAGCGAGACAATGTGAAGGAATAAAAAGCTCAGCAAGCCCTTCACTGCTCTTCAGCCTGGGAGAAATGAGCTACCTGTAGTTTAACTCAGGTTTTTTTTATCTCCATGCTGTTGTATTCTTTGTCTCCCGAAGGCATTTCATTTCACAAAGGATTTAATTTATCTTATTTATGCTCTTAGCTACCCTAACTTCGATGACGACAAACAACAACAACTTGCCTTTTATATGGGGCGGTGTCTCGGAGCGCTACAACCTTTAGTCACCTGGGTATTTGCACATCAAGATCCCTCTGCTCATCTATTCCATTCAAAATCTTACCGTTTCAATTTTAATTTTATTTCCTCATTCTTCCTATCAAGATGTACTACTTCACATGTTTTGGCTTTGAACAGCATCTGCCATCAAGCTGGCCATCTGCGAACTTATGTGTTTTGATGTACTCCTGCAGTTTTGCACAATTTTTATTCAAACTGCAGGTGAGAGTGTGTAAGTGCGCAGATCCCCTTTAAGCAGGTGTGTTTTTCTTATTGAAGCTTAATATAAATTTCCACTTGTTGGGTTTGGAAAGAGAAAATTGTGTAGCTGTTGTGGTCACATCCTTGTAACGGCATAGGCTGTGCATTCCATGTGTTTAGCAAGATCCTCAGACTCGCTTATAAAAGTGAAACAGAACAAAAAAAAATTGTGCAGTGATTTTCTTGCATCCGATGAAAATATTGCAGTGGTTCCTCCTCTTAAACAATCAACATGGAGCCTTGTGTTGGAATCTGAATAGTAAACACTGTGTGTCCTTGCTGTCCTTGTTGTATATTCAGCCAGACACAGGTCCAGAGTTACCTGCAATAAAGATCTTGTGTTGAGCATCCTCTGCCTTTTCTTTGCCTTGAAGTGCGAATTCTACATTCGAGGTTAGCGAATCGATCCCAAACAGCAAGATGTGGAGTCTATCAACTGCAGGAGGAAAAAACATTGGGCCCAATTTAGAGCTGGTACACCTACACCAAGGCCTAACCCTAGTGCAATTTCACATTAACAACAACAACAACATTACATTTGTATAAAGCCTTTCATGTCGGGAGGACGTCCGAAGACGCTGGACTATCGGTGCTTCTGACCCGAGCTGGGGGTCGGGATTGGGGCAGGTGGAGGGCAGGAGGGGCCTGGAAGGAGGGTGACCGAAAGCACGGTCAAAGAGGAGGGTCTTCTGAAGGGTCTTGAAGGAGGCCAGGGAGGGGGCAAGCAGAGGGACTGGACTGGAGTTCCATAGGGTGTTTGGAGAGTGGCTGAAGGCCCGCCTGCCAATGGTGAGGCGGGTGAGGTGGAGCACGTGAAGCAGGCGATAGCCTGCTGAGTGGAGGGAGCGGACAGATTGGTAGGGGTTTAGGAGGTCACAGAGGTAGAAGGGAGCAAGGCCATGGAGGGCTTTGAAAGGGAGGTCCAGGATCTTGAAATGTAACCTCTGTGTAATGGGAAGCCAGTGGAGTCGGGCGAGGATGGGGGTAATGGGGTCGTGGAGCTTGGTGCAGGAGAGGTCCCGGGCTGCAGAGTTCTGGATGATCTGCAGCCTTTGGGGGGAGGAGTTGGGAAGGCCGACAAGTAGGGAGTTTGCGTAATTGAGCCTGGATTATGAATATGTGTATGAGGGTCTCGGCAGCCTGCAGTATGAGACAGTGGCAGAACCAGGCGATGCTTTGGAGGTGGAGGAAGGCAGAGCGGGTCATGGCACAGATGTGGGGTAGAAAAGACAGTTGAGGGTCAAACAAGACACTAAGGTTCCGGACTGGCTTAGCGAGGTGGAGTGTGCAACCAGGGATGGTGATGCTGTCAGCGTCTGAGGTGTGGAGACGCTGACGGGAGCCAATCAGGAGGGCCTCAGTCTTGTTGATGCTCAGCTGTAGAAAGTTAGCTCTCATCCAGGACTTGAAGGGCGAAACCTTGGGCAAGTTTCCTTACTCCACACGCCTAATAATAATCCCTCCAAAAACAAAAAAGAATAATAAATTGGTCATTTTCAATCCACGACTGTCTGTGGGACATTGCTGTGCGCAATTGGCTGCCGCGTTCGCCCACAAATACACAGTCAATTCACTTTACAGTATATTCTGTGAAGCGCTTTGGGACGTCTAGAAGACTTGAAAAGCGTTATATCAAATGCAAGGATTATGATTATTATTATTATTTTTATTGATGTCTGTCAGGAGAGCAATGGTCCTAGAGTCAAGGGTGGAGGCAGAGAGATAAGAGTTGTGTATCATCCACATATGTGTGGAAGTTGACCCCATGTCTGCAGATGATGTCACCAAGAAGGAGCAAGAACATCATATCTAGCATCCTAAGATGCTATTTTTAGCGGAACTCTTATGAAGGAAAGTCGCTGAACATGTACGAAATAGAGGCATCAAATTCAGGGCTACTGACCGCTCATTGAGGTACACACCTCATTCTATTATTAATACATAATAATATTAATAAAGAAATCAAGCAGGAATTAATGTTAAAGTATGTTCTGCTTCTGTATATTCTCCAAGTCCTTGACTGTCCAACTCCTTGAGGTGTCCTCCAGACTTGAAATGAGCTATACAAGTGTAATTTATTGTTTGTTGTTGTTGTTGTTTGTGAGACTCCCCAGCTCCTCCCTGCACAGGTTGCAGATTATCCAAACCTTTGCAGCCCGTGTCCTCTCCTGTACCAGGCTCCATGAGCCTATCACCCCATCGTTGCTTGGCTTCACTGACTCCCCATCCTCCAGCGGTTTAAGTTCTTTCTCATATTTCAATCTCTCCACGGTCTCAACCCACTCTACCTCCACTACCTCCTTCACCACTCCTTTCGCTCAGCTGTCACTGCCATTTGCCCGGCTCTATCTATACCGCCATCGGTGGCAGGTACCCATTCTCTAGAACTCCATTCCCAAGTCCTCTGACTGCCTTCCTCCCCTCTTTCAAGTTACATTTCAAAACAAATCTCTTTCACCTTATGGTCATCTTTCCCCTCCTCATCCCCCCACAGCTCCCATCCTCAGCTTCCTGCACCCTCACGTCTATTGCCTACCCAGAATTTTCAAGCACTTTGGGACATCCTTCCGATCCGATAGATCCTATATTAATGTAGTGTAAGAATGGATTTGGTTTTGGCTCATGGGCATAAAATTACCCCATACATTTCGATTGCATCAAAGCATTGATGCTGCAACAAGTACAAATGTTAACATTGTTGATAACTTCGGTTAACATTAGGTGAGTCATAATAATACTATTAATAATCCTGGCTTTGATATAGCTCTTTTCACATCTTCTAGACATCTCAAAGCGCTTCGCAGAACATACTGTAAAGTGAATTTACTGTATATTTGTGGGCGAAACGTGGGAGCCAATTGCTCACAGCAGTGTCCCACAAACAGTCGTGGATTGAGCAACCAAATTATTACCCCCGGAAAGGCGATGAGCCAATCGACTAACAACTCGGTTCCTACTTACTGTTAGGTAAACAGAGGCGTGTGGAGTAAAGAAACTTGCCCAACATTTCGCGCTGCCGGGAATCAAACCCAGGTCTCTCGCTTGCGAGGCGAGTGCTCTAACCACTAAGCTACAGGACTCCACAAGTCATAAATATGAATTGTTGAAAACAATTATTATAAATCTTCCCTATTTTATTCTTGAATGTTTGATACAGCGCTTTTCATGTCTTCTAGACGTCTCAAAGCGCTTCACAGAATATACTGTAAAGTGAATTAACTGTATACTTGTGGGCGAAACGCGGCAGCCAATCGCGCACAGCAGTGTCCCACAAACAGTCGTGGATTGAAAATGACCAATTTATTATTGCTTTGTTTAGGAGGGATTATTATTATTATTAGGCGTGTGGAATAAGGATACTTGCCCAAGGTTTTGCC